CATATACCCTTCCATTTCTTACAGGAGATTCAGCTCCATTATAATTTTATGGGACCACATTCATATATGTGGTCCGTCTTTGACCTAAATGTTATTATGTGGTGCATAACCGTAATTCTAGTCTTTTCAGTAGAAGTTCTATAATAAACAGTTTCTGGTCTACAGGCAGAAAATATTTTGGAGCAACATGTTGACATGTTGAATGCCTTAAGAAAATAGATGCTGAGTACATCCATCCACCAGCTACAATTATTACCTATTCATCTCAATATCCATCACTACTCCATCAACACATCCAAAGTCAACAATAGGCAGACAATACACAAACACCTTTAACTTACCATGCTCATCTAGAGCCCAAGATGATTGGGTGAGGAGTGGTGGGGAATGGTGAGTAGGGAGAAGGACTCAAAACATTACAGAAAGCACATTGGGCTCAGAAAATTGAAGAAAAATTGAGAACATGTTGGTCTCAGAAAAATCAATTAGAAAATTGGGTATCATTTAGTTCAACCCACCTGGGATATGGACAAGGAAACCCCCATTGATGACTGATTTGGTTAAGGGTTTATACTCATGTATACAACTGAAAGAAATGTTTCATGAAACAATAATATATGCAGCTTACTTTAATATTTTCTATTTCTATTCTATTCTTTTCCTTAAAAATAAAAAATGATAGTCACAACCCAGGAATGAGTCACAACTGCAGTTTGAACAACACGGCCCCAGAGCAGCATAGGTGCATCAGTATTAGTGCTATTTTAGCTTCATGAATTTCAAGGTCATATTTTGACCTCTATGTTACTTGTTAAAATTCTAAGATGCTACATTTGTCAAAGTGAACAGCATCTTTCCAGCCCTCGACTTGCACATTTCCTTGGAGTTCTGAATTACAAATAGGGCAGTCACTCCCTCTAAGGAGGCAAATTGGCAACACAGGTCCTTCCTAAATCATACATTGATTTATTGTAAATTTGCTTGTTGGTTTTTCACTGTCCTCCACCACAGGAAACTTCTTTTCTCTCTTCCAGTTTTTCTCTTATGTAAGGCTAATACTTCTTGTTTTCAATTTTTTTCAGTCAATGAAATTTTATTAATTTAGAAATACCAGAATGAACAAGAAAAAACTCTCCACCTGTGAGTAACTAATGGATTAGTTGTGGAAACAAACAGGTGTCATAGAGAGAGATGTTGAAGAGAGGAACAGAGAAAGTGCTCAGGCAGCAGAGAAATATGGGTCTAAGTGACCAGGGTGGAGATACTTTCTCCGAAGAGATGTGTTTGGGAAAGAAAGTACCTAACTTTGCCTGGAATGAGAGATGGCATTCCTGGAAGAGGGAACAGCATGCGCCAAGGCATGGAAGTGGGGAGAGTACGTAGTTACATTTGTCTGGAGTTATAGCAGAGTGATGGGATGAGGCTCAGCTGAAGGGCCCACTAGGCAATCTGTAGGCTGTGGAGAGCCACTCAAGTGACTCAGAGCTCTCACTGTCCGCTCTCTGGAAGGAGGGGTGAGTTCAGATTTCAGTGTATCAGTCTTATATCTTTTCACTAGATTGAAACTTACCTAAAGGCTGGAAGGTCTTATTATCTGAATCCCCAGTGCCTAGTACAGGGCCAGGTAGGGACTCAAAAGACATTCAGAAGACTACCAGGCAATTAGTTCACCTTTATAGCCCAGCACTTGGCAGGTATCTGAAACACATGTCCAGGCTGTGCTCTGATTTTCAAGAGAAATGAAATGGAATTAAAGCATTTTGGGAATAATTTAGGAAAACAAATATTCTCTTTTACTAAGACCTCTTTTCAAAACTACCCCTTCCTGGTAAGATGTTGCAAATGAATTAATAACTTAAAATTATTCTCATCCCGTCCCCAGATCCTAAAGATAAGGAAATTAGAGATGTGAATAAAAAATAGTAGTATAAAAATAACTGACTTATGATATCCTAAATTTGTAGTTCTCACTAGCTACCAATGCTCAATAACAATTTTAGGTTTATGATTATTTTTAATATCATCTTGTAAGAGTGGAAATTATCAAAGAAAGAATTGAATGTTAGAGTTTGGAAATCCCTTTGAATTTAATCTATTTCATCCCTCTCATTTTACAGTTGAACAAAGTGGAGTCTAGATAACTGTATTCAAGTTTCCCTAAATAATTTTATATCAGGCAATTAAAATCAACCAAAAAGCTATGCCTCAAAGTGACTTACCATGCTATTGGGTCTTTGGAAAAGTGATGATGTATTTTGTCTATGTTTTTCAAAGGTCATTTATTTATATAAACAACAAAGATCAATGGATGATATATTGCCTGTTTTGTTCGATAACCTTTTGCCATCTTTTAGTGAGCTTCATAACTCCTCGTTCATAGAAGAACCTGTCTTTATTGGTAAAAAACTGAACAAGGTGCTGATTTACAGCCTCCTCTGAATTGAATGTTACATCACACAAGGAGTTTTGAAGAGAGCGAAACAAGTGGGGAAGTCTGACGGCGCAAGGTCAGGCGAGTATGGTGGGTGTGGCACACATCCCATCCAAGCTCTAATAATTTTTGATGGGTGATCAAACTTGTGTGTGGTCTCACGTTGTCATGATGGAACACAACTCCTTTACCATTAACAAGCTCTGGACGTTTCTGGATGATGGATTCGTTCAAACTGTCCAATTGCTGGCAGTACACATTCGAATTGATTGTTTGGTTCCTTGGTAGTAGCTCGAAAAACATGACACTTTTAAAATCCTACCACACTGAGAGCATAACCTTCCTCTGATGAATGTCTGCTTTTGATGTCGTTTGAGGAGAATCATCACGTTGGGACCAAGACAGTTTGTGCACCACATTGTCATAAACAATCCACTTCTCATCACCAGTTATCAGTCACTTCAAAACAGGATCGTTTTCCTCCCATTTAATGAGCATATTGCAGATGTTTATATGCGCCGTCAAATGAACTTCTTTGAGTTCATGAGGAACCCAAATATTGAGCTTGCTTACGTACCCCAGCTTCTTCAAGTGGTCATGAATGCTTGAATGATGGATGTTCGATGTTTCTGCAATCTCTCGTGTCATGTAATGTGGGTTTGACTCAATCAATGCCTTTATTTTGTCATCATCAACCTAGGTTGGCCTCCCTGACTGAGCAGTGTCTTTGAGATAAAAATCACCAGCACGAAATTTCATGAACCATTGTTGGCATGGACGTTCTTGTAGATCATTGTTACCATAAACTTTATGCAACTTTTCACAAGCTTGACGTGCGTTCTTCCCCTTATGGAAGTAAAACAGTAAAAGATGGCAAAAATGCAGTTTGGTCTTCCATCTTCAATTTGTAAAATCTCCAAACCTCAACCAAATCACTCAATTTTTTTTAGAATGAAGCTAGAACTGTTGGCTGTCAAATGACATAGCAATAACATAGATGCAAATAATTCTAGTACTTTCAAAAATGAACTAGCACCATCTGTTGCAAACATGCGTCATGACTTTTCTGAAGACCCAATAGTATATGTCCCTCTAGTTTCCTAAAAATGTGTATGTGTTCCCATAATAAAATTTGTATCGTACTGTTTATATTTTTTTTATCTTGCCTTTTTCACTCAATATATTTTGAGGCTTTCCCCCAAATACTTGTTATTCACAAATTTGTTACTCACATATTCACATAGTTAGTGACTATATAATATCTCATTGTATGGATAGGCCATAATTTATTTGACCTGTTCCCTGTTGTCGGGCATTTAGGTTGTTTTACATTATTGTTATTATTATTAGAAATAAAACCTTTAAATCATGGCTCCTCTCTGATTATTTCTTAAGAGAAAAATTACTGGTTTATACAAAAGTGATGAACACATTTAAGCCTTCTGATATATACTACCAAGTTGACCAGCCCAGGAAAGTCTCACAGATTTACCATAAGCGATATGTTTCATATCTTTTTTGAAATCTTAGCAACTTTGGATCTAACAGATCAATTATTTCAGTTGACTTGGAGTTTAAATTTCCCCAAATTTTAATCACTTAAAAAATACTAATAATTATGTTGCAACTGTTATTTTGAGAAGCTAAGAGGTCTTATTCTCAAATTGTAAATGAATCTGTAAGGACTAAGGGAGAAATTTGTGGCTAAATGGCCAAGGATCAAATGGGAAACACCCAGGAGTTTTCCTGTAGGGGTCACTGTTACTGTCAACTTATGTCTGCAAGGAAATGAAAATAAAGTCATGCATTTAAGAATGAATGCACATTCATTTTTAATACCTGATTTGTCTACATTATCTAAACTGTAAAATAAATAAGACCTTTAGCCAGATAGCATCACAATGCCAAGTTCTTTATATAATGACACATACCACTCTCTCCACTCAATATGCTTCTCCCTTTGAATTGATTAAATACATGCTACTCAAATGAAAGGCACTACGGCTTGCTCTTAATAGAGGAAGCATTAGCTAATTACCTAACGCCATAAAGTGGTTTAAATGGCATATGATGACTTGACGAGGAGTGTGGGGGGGGAAACCTTTACTGCTGTAGACAAGCTCTCCTCCCTCCAACCTTCCCATTTCTGCTTTTCCCATGGGCCTCTGTACTCTGCCTCAAAATCTACACAGAAGACAAAATCAGATGTTGTAATCTGAATTCTATAGTGCCATTTGAGTACAAAGAGGTGCTTTTCAATTTTTAAGTTTTTATTAATGCAGCTCAAACATGATCCTGACGTTCCCGGAGCCATGCCAATAGTGGCTGTGCAGACACACCTTTGCAAGTCTGCTGTTAGGCTGCAGGGCTGGGGCAGGGAACATGCCAGGTGTTGCTGGAAACGTATCAGCCCTCTTTACAAAGCAGGAATCTTTCCCATCATAAAATGCAAAGTAGCCAGCCGTTTTCCATTCCCCCCATCCCCAGCCCTCCTCGTCCGGTGGTGTAGGAAGGGGCTGGGAGGATATTTACTCTCCGCTCTGGCACTTTTCTTATTTAACTGAACCCAGTAGCAGCTGCTTCTCTGAGCGCAGCGCCAGCGGGCTCAGGCCCAGCCGCACCTTGAAGGCAGGCTGCCGAGCTAACCAAGGGCTTTGGCCAAGCCCGAACTGGGCTGGGGCATCCGAGAAGCGGAAGGAGGCCATCTAGGAAACCAGTGTGTGGGGTGGTGAGACTGGTATACGAGCCTCAATTTCAGGTCGGGGCAGAGAGCTCAGCCTCGCCGGTGGCACGCTGTCGCTCTTGGCTTCCCTCCACGCCTCTTGCGGCTGGGAGTTGGCAAAACTCGCTCACCTGTCGGAACCCGGATCTGGGTAGGGAGTAGGGCCTGGCTGTCAGAAGCGCTGGTCACGGGAACCTCGGCAAGAGGCCCTCCCACGCCAATACGCTACAGCCAGGGAGACAGGTGTGGGGACTGCTCCCGAAGACTCGAGGCACCCCAACCCCGCACCCATCTCCCTGCTCTCCACTTTCGCCTGCAGGGGCCATTGGCTTGGTGTGACACAAGGCCAACTCCGGCAGACTCCAGGGTTGATGGTTCGGGACGCTCCGCCTCCTTCTGCCACTTAGAGCCATAAGCGCCAGCAGGAGCCTTTCCACTTAGTCTTACTCTGCGGTTACTGCTGAGGTTTTCGGAACTCTCCAGGCCAGGGCCAGCCAGCCTGTTTACCTGCAACCGACGTCGTCCCTGAGCCTACCTGGGACATACGCCCCCCTAGCCCCGGCCCGGAAAAGCCCGTTCTCCCCCGGGAACCGACGCCCCAACTTTTTACGCGCGGTCTGCGCGCTCTGTCTGGGTGTCCGGCTCCTGTAACAAGGGTCGAGCATCTTTCGGCGCCCCGCAACGCTCTCAACCTCAGCTCGCCCTCTCCTCCCGCGAGCTGTGGGCTGTGTGAGCCCTGATCCCGGGTGCAAGTGCGTGCCCAGCGCTCGGGATTCGCCCCTGCCTCGGAGCCTACCCACTAGGAGGGATTGATCCCCGGAGACCTGGGCCTCTTTCTCCGAAACTCCAGTCGGCCCTGGTCATTTCTCTCGGAACCCGAGTGCACGTCGCGCATCGGCTCAGCGAGCGGCAGGGCGGAGGATCCGGGCGCTGCGGATCGCGTCGCCCCGTCGGTTGCTGCGCGCACCATGGCTGGCTGCTGCTGTCTGTCCGCGGAGGAGAAGGAGTCGCAGCGCATCAGCGCGGAGATCGAGCGGCAGCTTCGTCGGGACAAAAAGGATGCGCGCCGGGAGCTCAAGCTGCTGCTGCTGGGTGAGTGACTGCGGGTCCCTGACACCTTCTCTCCCCTCCGCCTGGTGCTGAACGGCTGCCCGCGGCTGCCTCCAATCCCCGGGGCTCAGGTGCCTTAGGCGCCTGTCCTTTGTACCTCCAACTGGGCGACTTTAGACTACCCCAAAACGGGGTTGAGACGGAACACTTTACACTGTCTCCTCCCATCAGTTCTAGTTTGCCTTTCTCCCTAAAGCCTCGACGTCCCCACCCCTCCGTCTCCAGCACACACAGATTCTGCAGAACCCCATGTTGGATGTTCGGGTGGGTGATGGGGAGCTGAGTGATCCACCTCTTGGGTTCAGCTCGGGCCCTCAGCTCTAAATCAAGTACCGTTGACTGAGCACTTACCAAGTGCGGGACTGCTAAATTCTATGGGCATCTGATGCGGGCAGGTAATAATTCCCATTTTAGAGAATTAAAAATGGAGGCCCAGAAAATTGGCGAACTTTCCTTGACTGAGAAAAGACAAAGCAGATACCAGGTCAATCATGGCGGTGAAGCCCAGATCCTGGACAGTCTGCTCACTGTGACCCTGTCTGCTTGCCTCCCGTGGTACCCTCTGGAAAGGGCTTTCTGTTTGCAGCAGGCCCAAACCTCCCTGGCCCAGTTGACTCAGCGGGTGCTGGTTCCTGGAGTTCAGACTTTGTGGCCCCAGTTGCCTTGGCTAGTTTTTCATCTGGCTTTTGGTCTCCCTGCACAGCTCTAGGTTGAACACCCAAGTTGAAAAACCAAGAAACGTTAAAGGTTTGCCCCATTTATGCCCTAGGGCAAGGAACCCACCTTTCTGACTTTTGTAGAACCTTGTTCAATCCATTTGAGGTTTGAGGAGTATTTACCTTTTCCTTCTTTCAAACCAGGTTATCAGCTGTCAAATCTTTCTAGATAGCTGCAAGTATTTCTACTTTTTCCTTTCATCCCTTGCAGACTGGAAGCCTCTCTTAAATCAGTTTCATCATCTTTGATATAAGGAGTCACGCTCCCAGAAAGCATGAGGAAAGGAAAGTCCATCTATTGTAGTTGGAATACAATGGGGAAAGCTTTTAGTCAGTGTTGCCTTGGGCAAGGAAACCCCTTACTCTTATTCCTGGAGTTTAGAGGGAAGGATCTGGCCTTCCCCAGACTATGCCCCTCCCCACTGGGCTAAGTGTCTGCAGGTGAAGTGGGCTGCCCTCCCACAGTCCATGCATACTGCCTCCTGTTCCCCAGAACGCCGATGGAATTCCCACCCCAAAGTCCCCAAGCCTGCTTTCAGGGCCTGTACAAGCTGGGAGGGCAGAATCCGTCCCTGAGGAGTTACCCAAAGGGGAGCTGTGCGGAGTTGTATAAGAGCTTGGAAATGTGGGCTGAGGGTCCACAGGTGTGCCCAAGAGGCCTCCCTGGGGCGAGAGGGAGCCAGGGTGGGGAAGGGAAGGGATTATGCTCATTGGCCAGGTCAGGTCTTTCATGAACTCTGAGGGGTCTGAGACTTCTAAATTGTACCTGGACTTCCAGGTGGTTATAAAGCCACTTTTTTTTTTTTTTTTTTGCCAATGGAGGATTGTGTGACAATTTGCTAGCATGATTAGCACTTTAAAGTAGTAATTATGTGGGCCTCCTTTTGTGCTCTCGCCCCAGACCCCAGAGATGATAGGGGCAGGCCTGGTTTTAGCTGCATCCTTTTTCTTGTCAAGGACAGGCTGACCCCTCTTTCATTTTGAAATAGTTTGATTTGTGTCCGTGTATGAAGTACAGTGTCTGGAATACACAAGGAGCTTGGCAAATGCTGACTGTCCTTATGGAAAATGAAGCCGTGTGCTGAGCTTTACTGTATTGGTAATATAAGCCTATTTGTTTGAAATAAAATGCTTGCATTTACACTTAAACTAGGGGAGGAATGTTTGCAGGTAAATTGTTTGCCCTGGAAGCCAAATTTAATCCTGGTGACTAGAATCCTTCGTCACCTCCCCAGGTCCTTACCCCAACCCTCTCCCTGACCCCTTGAGACAGGAATGCCTGGCATCCCAGGATCTCCATTTTCATCATTACCAGCTGTGATTAGGTCCTTGTGTCAGTGCTAGTGACTCAGAAACTGCTAGAAATAGTTTCCAAACCACATGGAGCTGTCCAGAACCCCAGAAAGATGGACTTTAAAACCTCTGATTTCTTTCAGTCATTAAAGGAGCAGGGCACAATTCCATTATTTTCTCAAAATCAAGGAGTCAAAGACTCAGAAAATATAGGAATCAGGGAAGGGTTTGTGCTGTTTGGTCTGAAGTCATGCAGTTTGTGAGCAAAATTCTTTCACCTGGCTCTCTCCAGTGGGTGGATTAGATGATCTGCTCTGATGCCTCAGGCAAAAGCTCCACTTTGCAAAAGGCAGTGTAGGATCTTGTGTGGAGCACGGAATGACCTGAAAAGCCACCAACTTTTTTCACAAGGAAGCATGCTTTTACAGCGAAATGATCTGGGGATGTTTCCAAAGTGCATTCAATAGGTCAGTCCATATCCTGTTTGTGCTTAATTAAAGGAGGGGTCAGTGTCCTTAGGAAAGATAAAAGCTGTTGGTCTGCCTAGGGCTAGCAATTGCAAGAAGTCAGGGTGATGCTCTCTCAGCGAAAGAGATGGGAAATAAAGATGGTTAACTTTAGTAGAAAGGAATTCCTTATCAGTTCCTCAGATAAAAGTAGGACAAAAAGAGTTCTAATAAGAACGCTGAGGAGTACTATTCAGAGCAGGACAAAAGTGTCTGGTTAATGGCAATTAAATGGGGAGAATGCGATCTTTTATAGATTTTTTATTTTTTAGTATTAAATAAGACTTGGGAAAGTGTTGCTTGTTAATCAGGTCTCGAGCAGCTCTGAGGGCTTAATTTTGGATGCAGACCTCATGTTGTAACTGTCTGGAAGGAATTTTTACTGGGGAATTGGAATTTAACTTATATTGGTATAGGAGTAAAAAAGTAGGTTCTTAGGCCCGACTGCTTGGGTTCAAATCCTGGCTCCACCCTTCCTTAGCAGAGGACTAAGCAGTCAGCTTTGTTTGGCAATGAACGCTTGATGAATATCAGTTGTATTTGCTATTTTTGAGCGTTTTTTAGTCACCTGTGAAGTATCATTTCCCATTTTAGTTGATCAGTTGTAGGCTGCACAGCCTATGTTTGTCTGAATAGTCCTGATAGTGCTTTAACAGAAATGTCTTGCTTCAAGTCTCCCTTACTGTTTTCTGAGCCATCAGCTGATTTTAAAGTCTCTCTTCCTACTTGAACCAAGAGTTGAAAGTCTGAGTTTTATTCCATTGCTTAGAACAAAATCCCATTGTAGAGCTGTCATGTTCCTGGGCTGAAGTCTATTAGAGAAAATGGCACAGATAGTATAGGTTCAGTAGAACTGACAGAATTTTCTGGCCCTGGGAAGAGGAAAAGGAGCAAAATAGTAAGTATGCCCGTGTTCCTTCCTCTTTGCTTAGTTTAATCCAATAGGCTGTTCCAAAGTGCCAGTGCTCAGTGCTGGGGAATGTTTCCAAGCATTGAGTTGGAAGTGATTGTTCACAAGTAACTGCTATGAGGATGATGGTCATAAATGCTTAAAAGGTGGTGCTACAGGCAGAGTGTGAAGGGGGAGCCTCTGGAGGAGGGATCCTCTGAGTAGGGACTTGAAAAACGGGGAGGGTAGGATGCTGATGTGGGGGCTTGTTCAGAACACACACAAACTTCTCCCTGCCTACCAAGAGAAACGCCTGAGGACTAGAAGTGATGTGCTTAGGATCTGGGCTACTATGAAGGACCCTCAGTGGCAGATTTCATTGAGTTTTGGTGTCACTATTTCATTCTGTCACTATTGTGTTCACTGCAAACTAGTTTTAATGTAAAAATACTTAATTTTTGTGCCATAATATACTTCAGAAAGGGGACCTTGTGACTTGATCTGTGGCTTATGTCCATCCTGGCTGGAATAAACCAACCTCCCCAGATAGTCTCTTTGATCTATGACACAGCAGTTCCTAGAGGCCTCTCAAGGGACAAATGCAAGTCCTCTCTCTTCTTTCTGCCTTTAAATGAATACAGAACATTTCAGGCAGTGGACTTTTTTACCCTTTATACTTTTCCAAGTAAGCTTCATTGAGGTATAATTTACATATAATAAAAGTTACCAATTTTAAGAGTATAATTTGATGTGTTTTGACAAATGTGAACAGTTGTGTAAGCATTAGCACAATCATGCTATAAAACATTTTTATCATCACCAAAACTTTCTGCGCCCCTCAATCTTCTGGCCCCAAATCATTAATTTTTTTTTAAATTTGGGAGCAATATTTAAGGATAAGAATAATACAAAAACCCACATGTATAACTTTTTCCCAATTGATCTATTGAAATTTTATCCCATTTTCTTTCTCATTTG